TAATAGTTGTACAGTAGTGAACATTTAACAATACACTGCATCTTTTGATAATAGAGAAATTTCAAAACTTACAGTGGGGATCTCTAAACTGCCACGGTATTATATGTACGTACACATCTCAAGTAAATTCGAAACTAAGGAGAGTAAGTAGCTTAGCATATTACCTTCTCTCTCAAAAGATGGTATACGATTAATAAAGCAAGCAGAATATGATAAAGGTTGGAAGCAGAAATGAGAAGCGGAGATGTTAAATTGCTCGCCAATGTGGAGGTTTCGTTTGAAGATAAGAGAGAGAGAGAGACAGAGAAGGTATATACAACAAGATGTGGGAACGTCGTGTCCTCTATATTATTCCTCTCTTTCATGACTAGTCTCTTTTGCACTTTAATGCAACGTTAGAACCCATAGAATCAAGTTGCAACAAAGCAAAAACTTTCCAGAATCTGATACAATTTTTCCTCCTCGTTTTTTTTTCCACCAAAAAGATTACAAAAAAAAAATTGCACCTTAATTTTCTCCATTTGGATCCACATTTCATTTTTTTCCACGTATACCCTATTTCCAAGTAACATTTGTTTTCTGACATTTTATTCTTTCTCATTTGCGAAAAATTGCGTAACTGTTTCTAAACTTTCACTAAAAGATTACAGACCAGAGCATAATTGACGGCTGTCGGTACGTATTATAAAGAAACATTTTCTTCACAGTGATCCTATTCTAATTTTAGAACTTTTGTTTTATGTCTTTAAAACAAAAAAAGTGCTTTAACAAAATAATAAAACAGCTAAAAGTATCATGAAATATTGAATTTGAAAAAAAAAGAATCCTGAGTAAAACAGCTACTTTAGGAACAAAAATGTTGCCTATAAAAAGATGTGTGTATACAGCTACTCTGTACTTAGAGTCATAATAAAAAAAAAGCCCCGAGAACTACTTTTTCGGGAAGTAGAAATATATACGTGTGTGTGTGTGTATACAATCCTTGATGTTGAACTTTTCAGTGAGAAAGTTCTCAATTGGGAAACAAGTGCATCAACACCTTCACGATGCATAAAGAGTGCAGCTAAATTTTTATGGTTATTGTTTCTCATAAAGCATGTTTCCATCTCTAGACTCTCGCGCGAAATATGTAAATTTTAAGAAAAGTCAGGGGGCATAATTCCATTTTATAGACATACTTTAAACATAAAATTATTTAACACCCACAATTCATGACATATTCAAATAACTAAATCTGACAATTTTGAAAAATACTAAACGATTACATTATATAGTTGCAAATTAACATTTAAAACTGTATTTCACGAGTTAAGAATTTTAAATATTCTAGTAAAAAAATATTTAACATTTTATGAGTCATACTTCAATAAAAGCAAACTTAATAATTACGTGATACTTTGTATAAAACTCAAGAAAAAAAGAAATAACAAAAAAGTGAGAATAAAAATATTGCTTTTAGTCAAACGTATGATTTTCAATTGAAAAATAATACCAATGATAGTAAAAGTAATTCATAACATTGTAGTCGAGAATAAGTTGCATATATTTCTAAAATATATTCCGTAAAAGAAAAGAATATGTTGAGAGATTGTTAAATGCAAGTTTCTGAGACATTGAGTCATAATTTATGAATATATATGCAAAGCACGTGCACTTCTATAGTCATTGGAATTAATTACTCATTTCTACAAAAATTATACGCAATAATACAAATTTTCCAGTTCAACTTTACAATGTATACAGAGATCGAATTACAGTACTAAGAAAAATGGATTGTTGCGTCTATAAGGTATGGATTGAAAACAGATTGAAAAATCTGCTTGAAAAAAAAATCAATCTTGAAAAATCTATCGGATTGCATTGTACTGTCAAAAATTTGGTTTGAATCATCCAAAAGTAGTTTAAAATGCTTCTATAAAAACATTGCAACATCTGTAATTTGGATCGTACCCTCTAAAATTTTTATTGTAGCATCTAGCTCTATCTGAAAATTATACTGAACCATCAATTTGGATTGGATCACTAGAACTCGTACCATGAATTTGTATTTACAGATGATCTTAAAAACAAGATTGATTAATTTCCAAAAGGAATAGCCAATTCGAAGCATTGAAATTAATTCTGAAATATTGCTAAAATTTTTGATGAAACATCTAAAATTTGAGTAATCTAAAATTAATACTGTAAATGATTCCAAAAATAGAATCGGATTGACAATCTGCAATTCGGATTGCATTGTACTGTTTATATGGATCCAAAATACCATATCATGCAAAGTATTACAAGAGACGTTTCGAATAAATGAAGAATTATGTCAAGACTGATTACAATATATGTCAAGAAAGATGTCACAAGAATTGCTAATTTCTGTATACGAAAACCATGAAGAAAAAAACAGTGATAACCATAGAAGAAGTTAATTTGCGAATTGCAGGAAGTAATTTTTTTTTCTCTCTCTCTCTGCAGTAGGGTTGGTATTGGTGAATTGGATGAAAAGCAATTTGTAACTTAGTTGAAATAAGTATGGCGTATGGCAGTCAGCGGCAGGTCAAAGACAACTCGTTCCTGCACGTAATTCGTATATACGCAGTACTGAAAATTACAAACCGGATATATCGTCCGTCTGCACAGAGAGGAAACGTGACTGACGAGAAATAACTTCTGTCTACGTATATGGCACTCCTTATATCAGCAGCAGCAGCAACACAAAAAAGTAGCAAAAATTCAGCGCAAGAGATATATATACACACTAAGTCCGAATGAGACTATGGCAATCGTAAAACTTGTCCACTCTGCCTTAATTTAATTTCTGAATATATGTGTTGCGTAATAGCTCTTTATTGTCCCGTCTAACTTGATCATACTTTTCCCCAGTTTTTTTCTTATGCTTCTACTCTTTTGATGCTTCAATCATGTTTATGTATTTCGTGATGTTGGTTATTATTTTTATAATAATTTAAAATTTATCTTCTAATTCGTTATCATTGTAAATCACGTGAAACTTGTCATTGACAAGCAGTCATCTTTTTTTTTAGAGATTGTTACAAGAATTGAATGAACGGTATTCTATATTGTATAAGAAATCTTTTGTACTTCTAATTTCCAATTATTGGCTTCAATGAGCGATATATATTTTGTGAGAGATGTCTTATTCCTATACTAGAAATTTTAAAACCTATATACTCTCTTCGAATCGAACTCGAAGAGAGAACAACTAAAACCAGGAAACAGAAAGAGAAGTTATTTGGTCTCTTCGACAATGTTCCTGGAGAGCACTTTGCGGTATACCGATCTTGCCTCGTGCAGCAGTGCGTTTCCCACGAAAAATTACGTGATATCCAAGTGCTGGAAAAGGTGCTACGTGATCTCTTCTAACGGTCATTCGTTACGGGTTTCTCGAAAGCAATTTTTCCCAACACAAAGAAAGAATATGGCTTTACTAAAATAGTTGATTCGTCATTGAAAACTTGCTCTAATAATAATTGATAATAAAATCGAGCAACAAACAAATCAATTATAAGATCATTTTCTAGAAAAAATTATTAGAAATTGAGAAAAAAAAGGTGCAATCAAAAAATATTGCTTTATATTCAACAAATATTTCCTTTCAATTTGCTCACATTTTATTTACCCAACAAAGTTCACTTTTCCTCTTGGAAAATAGTAAATAAGAGGAAAAAGAGATCGATATGGGGAACCGAGAGTTAGAAATATATTTCATTGAGAGTCCGAAAAAAGCTTTAACGACCCTAAATCTTTCAAACCGACAAGTGTAGTAAATGTGTGTGTGTTTTTTTTTTCAACAATTCTCACAATATATACATTAATTTTTGAGTTTTCTTTCATGTCGGATTTCAAGAACATTCTCTCGGCCTTTTTCCTTACAAGAAGTGAAGCGAAACATTAATTTGACCTAATTACCTACAATTATCGTTCTGCTCTTAAGAAAGAGTGAAAAAGATAAAAAAAAAAAAAGGTTCCAGACAGTTGCGGACCTTTAGCGGAGAATCTTTTTTCGAGAAATAAAATTGCGAAATAGGATCTAATTATCCTTAATGCTTTATTACTCAATTAACAGAACATCTGATAAAGGAAGTTGCATTTTTTTTTCTCTTTCTTTTCCTATATGTTACTTTGAAAGGTAAGGAAATTACAAAACAAATGCAATAATTGAAAATAAAAAATAGGCTAGATCAAAAAATTTAAAGAAAAACTAAATTATTATCACGTATTTCAATATTAAAATATAACAAACAAAACCACAATTAAGTTAACGGACACAACCAGATATAAACTTAATTAGAAAGAAAAGAAAAAAAAAATTGGATATTTCCATAAAACAGAGGTAATTTTCAATATCATAGGAAACAATGCAGCGTGAGATTGTGAAATAAAACGGCACTGAATGTCGAGAATATATGAGATAATAATAATAATAATAATAAAATTAATGCGAACTAGGAAGTTAGTGAAAAAAAAACACATCATTGGCGTGATGTTAATATTTAAACCCGTTAATCAAAGTGAGTTACAATTAGTTAAAAAGAAATTATAGTGTAATTAACAAAGCAAAAGATACAAAACATGATTTATTGAATGTCATCAGACACAATGAGAAAATTTCGGTTTACCTATTGTGACAAGTACCGCACATGCTCAGAAATTTCCCTTCATTATCAGAGACAAAAAAAAAAAAAAAAAAAAAAAAAAAAACAATAATGAAATTCTTTCCCATGTGTCACTGGGTTAGTACGATTTTCTATATTATTCCGTGAGATCTGATTCTTTTTTTTCTCTCAAAAGAATAGTGTCTCTCTTTTTCTCTCTCTCTTTAAAAGCGTGTCATTCGAAAAATATTTCCCTCCAATTAGTTAATTAAGAGTTATGGAAAAGAACCCATTATTTTCAGCTATTGTTTTATAATAGAATTTCTCTCATAAATAATTTCTATTTGCAAAATGTATATAAAAAAAAAAAACTCTAAAAAATGAAAAACTCACCTTAACTACGCCACTTGGTTGATGATCCGCCTTTCATGACTTCCGAATTCTGTGAAAAATTTTTTTAAATAATATAAAATGAAATTCGAAAATTTTTGCAAACAAAAAAAGTATTACATATGAAATATATATTTATAAATAGAAAAAGAAGTGAACGCACAGCAATATAATGGTCTGACGTTGTCTAAAAATACAAGTCAAGGCCTGTTGAATATTTCTACATGATCAAACTCGAAACTGCCACGAGAATACGTTAGTTACATGGAGTGGCACGTTCCATAGTAAAAGCACAAACTTAATCTGAATGCAAATTACTTCCCTAGATGTATATATGTTTTGGCGGGCTGATCGTTACTTACAACCGGAAGACATACATACATACATAGTGGAGCAAGGCAAAAAAAAAAAAAAAAAATGAAAAGAAAAAAAATACACCCAGAGAAATTTCTTCAATAGAAAGGTCAAAAGGGATACTCGTAACATTTTTCTCCAAAGAATTGTTACATTAAAAACGACTTTTCATCAAAAAGTCTAAGTGGACGTTTCCCTCTCTCAATTCATTCTTATATATGTCCGGAAAGGAATGTCGTCTCTTCAACTAAAGAAATTTTACAATTTCAAATGGTTTCTTTGTTGAAAAAAAAAGTAAACTCAAAGGAAACATCTCTCAAAATTCATTTGGATCGTTAAATTTTAATTTTAAAAGAAATTCAATAACTAAAAGTATTTTATATTTTTATATTTTATATTTTTTATTTTACTTTTTAACTAATGTAATATTATATATTATTGAGAGTAACTTGCATAGTTTAAAGTCCCAGCAGGATGTAAACAAAACTGACTCAGTGGAGGAACTATAAATTATTCCACAGCAAGTCTAACTAATAAGGGAGAATCTACTTTATAACCGAATCCTCTTTAACACATACAACATATATACATATTGTGTTATATCGTCTAACTTTTGTAACATGTTACTATATATTACTATAATGTTAATCAAACACAAATAACAATAATCCCTGTGGAATAACAATAATTTTTTATTACTATTTCTTTTCTTTTGTATAAGCCCATTTATACTGTATAAATAAATAATGATAATAGTAATAAAAATTTTTAAAAATCTATATATAAATTATTAGAAACGAATTGCGAAAGAAATGTTTTTATAATTACAGTAATCCAACAGTTTATTTCTAAATTCTTTTTTATAACCCAAATTTAAAAATAGACGCAAAACAGACTTTTAAACTCCTACATTGATTATATATGTATATACGAATGGTCCACAATAAGCTTTTTTTAAAAAAAAAAAAAACCTGATTGACGTCAACGATACTTTTAGTCATACTGATTTTTAAAGTAATTGTCGATTTTTATCGTTTCTTCGACTTATATTGTTATATACTGTAATAAAGGAATTTAAACTCTATTTACCGACCTTTACCATCCATCGCACGAGGAAGACGAAACCTTGTAAATAAATCTTTCACAAATATGGTAAATATTAACACTTTATATGTTTTAGCGCGCTTAAAAGCAATTATTTTTAGAAAAATCGTCAAAAATCTTATTTAAATAAAAAAAAAAGAAATAATACAAATTTCAATAAACAATTTAATATTTTGCAAATTTATACCATTGATTATTATTAATGATTGTCAATGCCGTCGTTATTATTATTAACAATTGTAACAAAGATTTGTAACAACCGTCGGTAATTACTGTTCATTGTACCTACAGTCGGTAATAATTATCAACAATTGTTAACACCATTGATTCTGACAACCTTTGGTAATTACTGTTAATTGTACCCGCAGTCGGTAATAATTATTGACAATTATTACCGACTATAGGTAAAATCAACGGTAAGTATTACCGACTGTAGGTACAATCAACGGTAATTATTACCGACTATAGGTAAAATCAACGGTAATTATTACCGACTGTAGGTGAAATCAACGGTAATTATTACCGACTGTAGGTACAATCAACGGTAATTATAACCGTCCGTAGGTACAATCAACGGTAATTATTACCGACTGTAGGTACAATCAACGGTAATTATTACCGACTGTAAGTAAAATCAACGGTAATTATTACCGACTGTAGGTAGAATCAACGGTAATTATTACCGACTTTAGGTACAATCAACCGTCGGTTATAATTACCGTTAATTTTACCTACAGTCGGTAATTACCGCCAATTTATATATTTATCTTCTTAAAAAAATTATTACTTTCATAAATGAGTGAATTTTTTTAAATGAATTTTTTTTTCAGAGATATACGGTAGAGACGCAGTAATCTTTGAACTGTTCGTACTGATTGTGAGTCACTTCCTCATTTCGCAAGAGTATTTAAACTTGAAAACATGGATGACAAAAAAAAAAGAGAAGAAATAACGAGAAGAATAAAGGAGGTGGAGGAAGAAGAAAAATAATAAACCTTGCATCTTGAAATTGGTCCAGGGATTGAGGGTGTGTATGTAGGCATTTTTGAATTGGTAATTCAATGGATTAGCATTTCTCTCCATTCTATCCGCGGGAAGCACAAAACATTCGCTTTGAACTTCAAGTTAACACTAGACGTTGTTATCGATCGCGTGGGGGGAATATTTGCATCGAAAGTTGTGCCACCAGAAAGAGCAACCGGGTTTCTAAGGCAAAGAAAACAATGCATCGCGTCACAATCGATTTCATTCTTCTATTATTCTATAAATATATATCTTTTTTTTCAAGTTACATCAAAATTCGTCTAACAAACAAAATTTATATAATATACACAGAGAAAAAAATCTATTTGATTCAAATAAAAATTATTTGAAACAAATAAATATTCATTTATGGTAGTTTTAAACAAATTTTTAGTTCTTATTGTGAAACAAATATATTTTTATTTAATTCAAATTTCATTTGAATAAAAAATTTCTCTGGTTGTATAATGTAATTAAAAAAGCGTTTTTTTGCCAAAGTAAAATAAAACAAAAATGTGGAAAACTTTAATTAGCCCAATTAAATACCCCCTCTCTCTCGACTAGTAACTTTGCTTGACGCGCTCTTCAAGAAAATTTCTGTTAATTGGGAAACATCTTTTTGGTTTTAAGTAATTCGTCAAGCATAGCCAAATGAAATCGTTAGCAGCTTTACTTATAAAAATATAATGAAATATAGGGAAAATTTTACTTTATTAACACACAGAAAAAAATAATTATTGCCATATTTTTTTTTTCGCGAAAAGCTGTACAATTTTTTTTTTCAAATTTCGTATAATGTATACAACAAATTATGAAAAATTACAGAAAAAAAAATAAATTTTACCATTCTAGTGTGTAATTTTTCACATGTTTGGTATATACATTAAAATTTCTACATTTTTATTATAAAAAAAAAATATTACTTCATAATATAAAAAAAAAAAGATATTTTTTAATATTTTCAGTGAGAAATTTTTTTTCTTCAATATTGAACGTTAAAAACATTCGAATTATATAAAATAAACGCACTGTAAAAATAATATTATATTTCTAAATTATCAGACATCAAAATTGGATTGACTCCAAAATGTAAGAATCGTCAAAAATATCTTCAAATGAAAATCAATGTTGAAATATATTAATAAATTAAAATTTATTGGAAAAAAATTATTTAATTCCTTTCATAAATATAAATATAACATCAATAGGAAAAAGTAATTTATTATGTAATTTATTTAAAGTGTTATATTATTTTCCTCTATTATTAAAATATGTCTTATTTGTTTCCATTAAGCCCTACTTTCGTGTGTCAATAAATGACAATATACAATCTATACTCGTTTCAATCCTATTAAACTAATTTCCTCAATAATAAAATAATTTATTTTATTTTAGAAACCAGAAAATTATGTTCATTAAATTATATTTTATATTCAATACCGCCCGCGAATTAAATTACAATTCTCGCAATGGTATATATTAAAAAGAAAAGAAAAGATTGATCGCATTAAAATAATATTTTCTTCAATTAGGTTTCAATTATTTGCAAATTAAGTTGAATGAAATTCTAAAGATATGTGAATTTAAAACGATATAAAAGAACTTCCTGATTCCTTTATTATGAATCAAGACACCTGCATCGTTATTAAAAAGAAGAGAATAATAATTGTATCGTTTTCTCTTTCTCTCTCTCTCTCTTGCACAGTTTTGAGCGCACGAGATCACACATATATAAATACAAAGAAATCAGTGTTGTGTCGTTTATACATACTCGCGGTATATGTAAATAACCATAACACACGTGAATCATATATATACCATCCGGAGAACTCGTGCACAATTACGTAAAACCCATGCATGACGAACGCGAGAAAGACATTAAATTTACATTTTTGCATTCCATATCACTATATATATATACATATATATAAAAAATGACACCGATCCTCCCTTTAAAAATTCAAATTCACTATACCCTTTTATTTCTATCAGAAAAAATTATTCTTATATTAAGAGGAAAATTACAAAAGGGTAAACAAAAAATCTCCCCACTTGGAAAGATTATACATGGAAAGTGCCCCTTGGAGTTTCCATCAGAATTCCATCGGAACTTCCAACGGAATTTCATCGGAGTTCCAAAGAATTTCCGATGAGATTCCAACGGAATTCCAACGAAAATCCGATTTTTTAAAATCTTTTGAGTTATACACTAAGTTAATATATTTCATAAAAAATAAAATTTAGTAAAGTTTCTATATGCACAGAAAATTAAAAGGCCTTAAAATAAGCTGCAACGCTTATTATTTTAATCCGCAATTTTGCTTATTTTAATACCAAAATGGATTAAAATAAGCAAAATTGGATTAAAATAATAAGCGTTGCAGTTTCACTGCAAAAAAGAAGTGTCTTAATATAAGATGTTTTGGTAGTCACGTTTAAGACGTTTTGGTAGTAACTTTTTAGTTATTTAAAGTGTCTTATTTTAAGATGTTATAATAGGAATAAAGCATCTAAATATTAAAATTAACATCTTATTCTAAGATGGAAGCAAATGGAATAAGTTACCATTTCCGTCTTAACATCTTGTTTTAAGATACCAAGAAGATACCAACTTTTTGCAGTGTTATTTTAATGCCTTTCAATTTTCTGTGTGTGCATGATAAAAATTGTATTTTATAATAATAATAATAATTTTCTTAATGTAGGATTCTAAAAATTAAAAAATAATTAATCGGAATTCCGTTGGAAGTTCCGACGGAATTCTGATGGAATCTCCGCAGGGGGTCACTTTCCGGGGAATCTTTCCAAATGGGTCCTGTACAAGTTTAATGAGATTATTTTTATTTTGAGAGAGCATAATATCAGAAACTATCCGGAAAGGGTATTTTCCTCTCAATATAAGAATAACCATTTTTCGTGAGTAATTAATCCGTGTTTCAGCCATTTTTTTTTAAATTTCTTTTGCCCTTTGATATCGCACTTCTTTTTGAATTCTCTTCTTCGTTTTCTAGTCATTTCTTTGATTTTCTCGCAGACGCTTTGACCATTTGTTAAAACGAGGGAGCCAACCTTAAAGGTCTCGCGTTTAACGATCACGTGATCGAGCAGAGAGAGAGAGAGAGAGAGAAAAAAAAAGAGAGAAAAGGTACCAAGAACCTAAATTCAAGGTACCAGACGTGAATCGAGAGGTTCGTATATATATTTTTCGCCTTTCTCTCTCTCTCTCTTTCTCTCTCTCTCAACACTTGTACGTGCCACGGGTTCAAGAAGCATGGTATTTTTGTTTTTTTTTCGTCTATAAAAACCTCAAGGTGAATGGCCCTAGTAAATAAAAACCGTGAAACTCTAAAAAGGTTAATTCTTCTTTTTTGGAAGATATTTTTAATTTAAATATTATAATTTTAAATATTATAATTTTAATAATTATAATATTATTATTATAATTTAATAATTCAATAAATTATTGACGGAGGAGAAAAATATGCTTCGCAGAATAAGTTTTCCCTACTGCTTTGTGAAAATCTCTTTCTATATATATATATATATATATATATATATATTATATACTTAATAATATAGTCCATTTAATTAAATTCAATTACTTAATCTATTTGAAAAGCATACTCATTTTGAAGCAACTCAATTTAAAAGCGCTCTGCATTTTTTTTCTTCATTTTTTTTTTTGTATCTCATATTCTAATGGATTTATGCATTAAAATTTTCAAAAGTGCAATTCTAGATAATTAAAAAGGCAATCAATGAATGGTCTTTTTTCTGGACGAATAAAAAAAAATTTATTTCAAAAAATCATATTTTGTGCAAAAATTTTTTTAATTTGAAAAATTATATTTCTAAATTTAAAGATATTTCTTTAGCTTCAATTTGAAAATATTTTATTTTGAAAATTTTTCACTTTTAATTTTTCGAGTAGAATATTGAAAAATTTTTTAATTAAATTAAAAATAATTCAATAAATAAAATTTCCAAACATAAATAACTTTAAAAATCGGTATGATTTCAGTTCACGCCTTATTCGGTGTTACCAAGGGTAAATGGATTTTCTCGTGTGTCGCAAGTGTATATGGAATATCAAACGATTCTCTGACTTTACTCCCAACACATTTCGAATTCATCTTTTGAAACGGTGAAAAATCTACTTGTATTGCGCTTATCGTCATCTCTATATTCCAAAGGATAATAATGGACGTATTGCAAAAAAAAAAAAAAATTTTACATTCTAAGAAAATTTCTAAGTGTAAAAAAAAATAACGAAAGGAAAAAATTTAAATAATTAAATTAAAAAATTCACTCAATTCGAAAAAAATATTATATAAATAATTAATATTATTTATAAATATAATGTAAAAGTAAAGCGGAATTCACATAAGCAGAATAATGTTGAATAATAATAAAAAATATTATAAATATAAATATAATAATATTATAATATATAAATTATAAATATTTATATTATTTAAATTCAAAATTAACGGTTTTTAAAACCAATATCAATATACTGAAAAAAAAAATTTATTTGATTCAAATACTCGATTACTTGAGTATTATCAAATAAATATTTATTTGAACCAAATAATTTTTATTTGAATTAAATAAATTGTATTTGAACCAATAATTTCTGTATTTAAAACAAATAACATTTAATTGACTCAAATAATAATTATTTGATACAAATAAATATTTATTTGATAATAGTCAAGTAATCGAGTATTTAAATCAAATAAATTTTTTTTTTCAGTGTACGTAATACGCAATTTGAATTTCGACAAATTCAAAAAGAGGATTCTTTAAAAATAATTGATGGGCAAATTTTCTTTTTCTTTTTTTTTGCCACAAGAGAGAAAATGACGAATTGGATTTATGGCATATTTTCTTTTTCTCTCGCATAAAGGAACATTAATCAAGCTCGGATTACGAGAGGTGCCAAAGGGGAGTAAAAACCCTGGATCTTTTAATTTGCTTCTACCTCCAATACATAAAATAGATACTTCATCTTTTTTGATGACAGAGAGATGTTGTGGTTCATTATTACAAATAACAAATTCGAGTGGAATTCAACTAATCAGTGAACGAAATTCAAAGTTGTATAATTTCTTCAAAATTATAACCATTTATTTAAAAAACCAAAAAAAATTATGTAATTTTTTCATTTATTATTTTAATAAATTATATTATAAACAAATGTTTATAATTGTTAAATACAATTTAATGAAAACTAATTAATTTAATTTTATATTTTAAAAATAATATTCCCAATTTTCAAAGACTATATATATTAGAAGCAAAAAAAAAAAAAATTCGAACAAGAAAAATTATTTCATCTAGAAATATATTTAGTTACTTGAAGAACAAGATTCTAATTAACTGTTATAGAAAAATTTGTAATATGATATGAAAAACACTCGGTACAGTTGTTTTAATATCGCAGCCTTTTTAAATATACATTTTGTAACTTATATCCTTTTATTTGACCCCGATTGGACATATAAAAGTGTTTTGTAATTAAACCCACAGCTGCAGATAGTAAGATATGTGGAATGATTAAAAAAAAAAGAGAGAAAAAACGAGACTAGTATTAAAAAAGCTTTAAAATTTAGGAGTTAAAGTTCCTTTTTATACAAAGTCCATTTTTTCATGCTCGTGACTTAACTAAATTTCTGATTCTAATCGAATATTATTAAAAAAAAAAAATTAAATAAATTAACATCTGTCTAAATTACCGAATGATTATATGCTTTTTTTTATAGTCTATGTCAATAACTCTCCAAGATTAGAATATAGACTCAAAGAGATTATTTGAAAAAATATTTTATCACACAGGGAAAAAAGTTTCATAAAATGAAAATATATGGTAAATTTAAAAATAATAATGATATTAAATAACATTAAATATAGTTTTTAAATCTGTAATATTAAATTAAATCTTTTATATTTATTTAATATCATTTCAAAATAAACAAACATTACTCCAAAAAAGTAAGGTTAGGTTATCAACAATTAAAATTATTTTTTAAATTAAAAAACCAAATAAATACTATATACAGTATACTATATATAAATACTATAAATACTATTTGAATCAACACTATTTTGTCTGTCAAAAACCGATAAAAAAAAAACCACTTTTTGAAATAACAAAATAAATAATACCGTCTATTACATAAAAAACAATAATTAATCAATAATAATTTAATTGTTATTATATACCTGTAAATTAATTGTCGTTACACTATTGAATGAAAACTTAACGTGACTCATTTCTTTCAAAATCAAAAACAAACATATCCCGACGAAAAGTGAGGTTAGGTTACATATCTAATCATCATCTTTTCTAATATTTTATCAAAAATTCTCAATTATTTTCGCACTCGTAAAAAAAAAGCATAAAACAGACATGACGCTTTGTATATATAGGTATAAGAAAACCAAAACAAAATCATAAACGCTTGGGCGTCCTACCGGAAAATAAACAGGAAATAATGAATATTATTCTCACCTAACAGAATACAATAGTGGCGTGTGCCTCTTTTTTTTATAAGGGTTGTTGTAATCCAATATGGCAGCCTACACACATGTCAAAACAAATCACCAAAGACGACGCAATAAAAGAACGAACACTACTATATTCTCTGTCACTATATATATATGTGTGTATATTTGTCTTCACTTTACTTTTTGACCGCAGACAACCAGGAAATGACGCCACGTTTATCACGTTTGTTGACCACGTATTTTCCTATACTAAAAACACAACATACAATAGCAGAGATTTTATTGGAAACAGTGTTTTGTTGTTTAAAAAGGACATCACTGTAATATACGTTGTTTCCTGTACGAATGTTCGACGACTACTAACAGCGGCCAGGCAACCGAGCCAAAAGGGGAAGGGGGTGGGGGGAAGTTCCGCCAGTGGCGCTCAACCAACGTCTGGCGCGCTCAATTTAAAATTACAATTTTTTACTTTTTCATTATTTTTTACTTATTTTATATTGAAAAATAAAATTATTTTTTTCTGTCTTATTAAAAATTAACGTATATCAAAGAAATTCACTATAAAATTATATAATAAGCAAAAAATTGGAATTATTATCGATACATAATAATTTTATATCATTATATAAATATATTAATTAATATTATATTAATATTATCTACTAATATTGTTAATTATTACAATAATAATTTATATAATTAAAATAATTGTAATTCTATTAATTAATAATTATTATTATTAATAATAATAAATAATATTAATTAATAATTTTAAAAAATAATTTTTATTTGTTAATTTCTAAATTTTAATTTTTTAAAACATTTTTTTAACCTAAATCAACTAAATATAGAAATTAAAAAATATGAATTTCATAATTTAGGAAAATATTTTCATAAAAGGCAAATGACCTATTTAAATTTTGCCAATTTACGATCATTTAATGCAAAATATTAAATTTAAATGTACGTGCTTTGTAAACTATTTAGGTCACGGGATTTCGAGATAAATATAATATACTATTAATTATTATATTGTGCAAATAAATTCACTTATTTACTGAATTTTGCAAAATTAATCTATTATATAAAAATACTATTTAAACACAAAAGATATAATTTAAAATATTAATTAATTAAATTAAATTTCCTGTTTTATTTATATAATTTATCCTGTAACAATCGATAATTAACAATATTAAAAACTATTGGAAAAATAAATATTTTTTTTTTTTTTTTGAATCAAATAAAATTTATTTGAAACGAATAAATTTTTTTCTGAACCAAATAAAATTTTCATTTTGAAGAACAAAATTTATATTCAATGAGATAAAAATAATTAGGTTATTCTCTGAATATAATTCCAAATATAAATTTTATAATACAATAAAAAGACAATATTCTTATTTATTTAAAAATGGAAAATTTTGTAGAAAAAAAATTATATTATTTTTATCAATATATATTATTAATTTTACAATTTTACTCCGTCAATTTGCTTAACACGAATTAAAGGTAAATTACTCCTTCCATATTCTGACAGTTTCTCGATATCAGGTCACTATGGGTCACCGGTTAAATGAACTTTATAATAAAACTTCAAAAATATAATTTCAATATAGTAGAACGTAGTACGATAATCTTTATGCCAGAAATAATTTCTCGTACGTTTATTCTGTAGTAACGTATTTTTTTACTACTACTACTACTACTACTAGAAAATTTCTTGATAAGATACATTTATAAAAATATATATATAACTTCTTGAATAATACACAAATGCTCCAGAAATTTTATTTCACTTCTGTGTCTGATTATAAATTCATTGAATTATACTCATTTTCCAGGTCAGGTAAAAAATGAACGACTAATGAGAATGAAAATATTTTCTATTTTTTGCAAAAAAAAAAAGATCATTATTAATTATGAGTGTAAATTTAAAAAAATTGAATTTACTCCTTTGCAAAAATAATTTAGTAAAATTTTTTTCCTCTCGTATATATTCGATTTTTTTTAAATATCAAAATAGAAATACTAGGGCAAAAAAAAATCTAATTAACAATTTAAAATCATCTTAAATAGTTAATTAAATTTTTAATTTAATTAAATATTTACGAATATAAAAATTTAATATATGAATTTTTTTAAAATTAATCTCAAAAAAAGTACTAAAAAAAAAAGAAATTAAAAATTTAAAAAATTTAATAAAATAATCACAACGCGAGGTAACGTAACGTGAGGTAACTTTAAATTAATCCGTTGCAAGTGTCAGAAACATATTTTTGTAGCTATATATTTATTGATTGAATGTATCTCTTCGGGAGCACATTCTGTCAGTCATCGTTATCAACGTTCACAAACGCGGTTACCTGCTTCATTATTTGTATTTGCACTTTTACCCAATAGCAAAGTACAAAAGACACACATATTCATTAATTGAACTAAATTTTCAAAACCCACGAAATTTCATTAATAATTAGTAGAAATCTACTTTTTTTCATAATTTAAATTAGCAGCGAAAAATAAAAAGCAAATTTATACATACATAAATCTTAATTAATAATATAATAAATAAAATAATAAAATATAAAAAAAATAATAAATAATAAAATAATAATAATAAATTAAATCTAAAAATAATTCATCTAGAGAAATTTTTAGTAAATGTTTTATAGCTATATAGATAAATCTTTTCTTTTGCGTATGTACATACGTCAAAATAATAAATTTCAATTTATGCTTAAAAATTAAATATAAAAAGAAATTCGTTGAAAATAAATTATATAATTCAATCATGCTGAAAATTTAATTCTCAATATTATTTTTTATTTATTTTTTAAATTTACGATTTAAAAAAGAAAAAACTTAATTTCATCCGTAAAACAATTTATATCCATCACTAAACATTTCATTTTATGCCCCCGAGAGAACAATGGAGATCTACATTCCGCGAAAATTCAGAGAATAAATGAACATTCAATCTGGACCACCAACGAACTAATTTAACATTCTCAATTCATAGCTTCACTTTGCTAAAACATTAATTCAACACAAAAAAAAAACTCATCTTCAAATCAAATTCGCATCTACGACAAAATCTACATAATTGAAATTCGAAACATAATAATAAGTTATAAAAATACAAGAATAAAATGAAAAATAAATAAAAGAATTAATCGTAGGAGTAAAAAAGAAAAAGAGAAATTATATATGCAAAAAGAAAACAAATATTAAATTAAAACTGAAAACACAATTGTTAGCGCAAGTAATGAATCGAAAGTAATAAATTCATTTTCAAGCAGATGTTTCATTTTCTTGGTATATATATATATACATAATTTTATTTATATTCTCGCGTATAGTTTAATGTAGCTTGTAACGCCTCTAGGTTAAATTTAATACATTTTCATCTTTTTGCTGAAGATGAGAATTCTTTTCATACGATAAACTTTATCTTCTTCCTGCGAGTCTGCGAGCAACGCAATAGCGCGACATGAATGTAATTAATGAATGTAAAAAGATAAGGAACAAATGGTTTTCTGGACTAAATGATGATCGTGTGACATCGCGACCCCACTGATCCCTGATACTGTATCATGATACAAATCTGTACGTAATATTCTTACACACCATTACACTAAAATGTTCTACTTCTTTATTGTTTTAAAGTATAATAGAAAATTAATAATAACATTCATGATATCAATAAATTACATTCAAACAATCAGCAGTAAGTTCAAAATACAGTACAACGATCTTATTTTGACAGTAAGTGCATTTTACTGTAAATACCATATCGATAGTAAGTGCATACTACTAAAAAACTACTATACTGTCAGTAAGTGCATTCTACTGTACAAGTGCAATACTACCAGTAAGTGCATTCTACTGTCATACAAGTACTATACTGTCAGTAAGTGCATTCTATTGTACAAGTACCATACTGACAGTAAGTGCATTCTACTTTACAAGTACCATACTGACCGAGATACTGACAGTAAGTGCATTCTACTGTAAATATGATATTGACAGTAAGTGCATTCTGCTGTACGAGTACAATACTGCCAGTAAGTGCATTCTAGTGTCATACAAGTACTATACTGACAGTAAGTGCATTTTACTGTACAAGTACCATACTGACCGAGATACTGACAGTAAGTGCATTCTACTGTAAATATGATATTGACAGTAAGTGCATTCCGCTGTACAAGTGCAATACTGCCAGTAAGTGCATTCTACTGTCATACAAGTACTATACTAACAGTAAGTGCATTTTACTGTACAAGTACCATACTGACAGTAAGTGCATTTTACTGTAAATATGATATTGACAGTAAGTGCATTCTTCTGTACAAGTGCAATACTGCCAGTAAGTGCATTCTACTGCCATACAAGTACTATACTGACAGTAAGTGCATTTTACTGCAAATATGATATCGACAGTAAGTGTATTTTACTGTAAATACCATATTGACAGTAAGTGCGTTCTACTGTACAAGTGCAACACTGCCAGTAAATGCATTCTACATTAAAAGTACCATACTGACAGTAAGTGCATTCTACTAGATATATGATATTGACAGTAAGTGCATTCTACTGTACAAGTACCATACTGACAGTAAGTGCATTCTACTGTATATACCATATCGAAAGAGAGTGGATACTACTGTATATACCATATCGACAGTAAGTGCTTTTTACTCTAAAAGTACCATACTGACAGTAAGTGCTTTTACTGTAGAACTAATATATTAACAGTAATTGCATTTTACTGTAAATATCATATTGACAGTAAGTGCAATCCAATAAACAAATACAATACTGACAGCAAGTGCATTTACCTCTAAATACCATGTAACTGTCCGTATTGTACTTCTTTCTTGCAATGCACTTACTGTCTAGACGATATTTACAGTAGAATGCATTTAATGTGAATATGGTAGTTGTACAGTAGAATGCACTTACTGTCAGTATTGTACTTGAGCATTAGAATAGACTTATTGTTTATACCGTATTTACAGTAAAATACCCTTACTGTCCATACTGTAGAGTAAAGAGATACAACTTACGTTGCTAACAGTAAGTGCATTTTACAATGAATACAATACTAACAGTAAGTGCATTCTAAAATACAAGTACCATACTGACAGTAAGTGAATTTTGAATATTAAAATCCTATTAAAAGTAAGTGCATTATACAGTACGACAATTGTATTGACAGTAAGTGCAGTTTAATGTACAAGTTTCATACTGACAGTAAGTGCAATTTACTGTGACTATCATATTAACAGTAAGTTCATACTGTCAATAAGTTAATACTCGTATTTAAAAAAAAAATGTTCAGTGATTTCAGAATATATACTATATGCATAATA